ATATTTAAAAAGAACATTAAAGTTAATATAAAAATTTAATAAATAATCTTATGGTTTTTCTTATTTTTATCTTAAAACAAATTTATAAAGTTTTATAACATTTAAATAATTTTATATTAATTTATTAATAAAATATATATTAAAAAAAATTCTGATTTTTTTTGCACCACACTGTATGTATTATTTATTATTTATATAATAGGAAATTATTATAAAATAAGATCTTTTATACTTTATAAAAATTTGGATTTATATAATAAAATATTATTTTTAAAAAATTTCTTGTATCTTTTTATTATGCTTTTTTAAAATGGTATACAAACTTATTGTTTAAGCTTTTAAATTCTTACATATTGCCTTAACATAAAATGTTAAGATGCAATAATTACTAACATTTTATATTAAAATTAGAACTTAAAATATATATAGTGTATATATACTTGTATAAATTTGTCAATAAGATAATTTTCTATTTAAAGTTTGATATTATTTTTATGATCAAAGTTGATACAAATATAAGTATATTGGATATTATAAAAATATAATTCTTATTGAAAATAATTTATTGATATCTTGAAAATGTTTCATCTTATATCAGATTAAGATAAAATGATAACAAATTTCTTTATACTGTACTGTATATTGATTCTAATGCTTAAAATAAGAATAAATTGTTATTGAGACAAATTTGAAGTAAATTAAATATTCATAACTGAAATTATTTTAAATTCTAGTTTAAAAAGGAAGAACACTAGTTTGATAGAAAAGATACTAAGTTATCTTGAATTTTTGAACAAATGCAGAATCAGGTTTTTAGGAACCCTAAGGCGTGTTGTCGATCAAAATTAACTTTTTTATAATTACACATGCAATTATTACAAGGTTAATCATTTTCACTTCTAAATGACCTTATTTCCGTCTTTTGAAAGTTACGATTTATTTATCGCGCTAATTTTTGGCATAACGACCTATGTAGCGTTCTTCTATTTCAAGTATTTTACAAGTTCTCGCAGACTACCCGGACCGATTCCATTTCCAATCATCGGTAATTTAGAAACGTATTATGTCGACGACATTATTAAAGTAGCTGCTGATATGCAATCAAAGTACGGCGATATTTGGGAAATTAGGCAGGGCTCTGAAAGACATGTATGGATATGTCGTGCGGATTTTGCCGCCAAATTGCTGAATCCGGCGTACACAAACAACAATTATCTTTTGCGTACTACCGAGAACGAAGGACTTGATCTGATGGATTTGACCACCAAAGGCATGATTTATAATCGTGATATAGACGGATGGATATCTAATCGTGAATTCGTCAGGCAAATTCTCGTCTCACCTAAATTTTTGAGACATGCTACGAACGAAACTACAAAGTTGTTCGCTGAGATGGAAACATATTGGTCAGAACTTGGTCCGGAGACAGAATTAAATCTTATAGATTGGATGATGCGATTCATGACGGATTCTACGTTTATAACGGTCACAAACGAGCGTGTTTATGCTCTCGCAAATTATTATAATAAAATTCCTAATTCAAAAGGAGCAAGTCATCCCGCAGCTCTTTTGCATGAATCGGAAAAATTTGTTAACTGTGTTCGATCGCATTTCATGGCAACGTTATTCTTTAAGGATACCAATAAATATTTGTGGAAGCTATATCCGCCTTACAGGCGTAAATCGAAAAAATTACTAAGTGATGTCGCTTGGTTGTACGAAAAAGTTCATGAGATTATTAAAGAACGACGAAAAGAGATTAGGAATCTATCACCTGAAGAATTGAGTGAGGACATACTAACGTTGATGTTAGTATCCAACAATGGCGTTAACGACGACACTACTAAACAAATTGCTGAAGATCAAGTTCAATCCACCCTGTACGAAGTTATTGGAGGTGGCATTGACACGGTTAGTAGATCAAAAGTTTTATTTTAAAAAATAACTTGTACAACATTCCATTATAGAGAATAATGAAAAACTGTTATAGACTTCGAACTCTTTTTGCTATGTGGTTTATTATCTTGCTCATTATCCCGAAGTCAAAGAGAAAATGATGAAAGAGATAGAATCAGTATTTGAGGACGTCAACGATCCTATCACATATGAAAATCTCAAAAAATTGAACTATTGCGAAGCTATTATCAAAGAAGGTAACTTTCTTTCTTGAAAATAATGAACTACGAAGAATGTCATCATGCTTATTTGTTTATCAAAAATCAGCATCTCGCATAATGCCAACTGTGTCAGTGTTGTTCAGGGTGAATGACAAAGCCGACGATATTGAAGGTCATCATTTCGATCCTTCCACGTTATTTAAGATTTATGTACAGGGGATTCATCTTCACGAGGCAAGAGTCGATATCTTATTGTCTTTGCAAACTAGGAAAATATTCACAATTGAGCGACTGATAATTAACACCGTTTAAATAATTGAAATTCCAGGCGCACTGGAAGAATCCCAAGGAATTTGACCCCGATAGATTTTTCGGAAGTAATGCCAAGTCTGTTCAGAGAAATTCTCTTCTTCCTTTCGGAGGCGGATCCAGGATTTGTATGACTCGTTATTCTTAACCTTGAGTTTGCACCCAATATTAATATTTCAGAATTACTAACAAGGGAATTTTCTTAAAAGGTCCTGGCAAACAACTTTCAATGTTACAAATGAAACAATTAATGGTATTGTTGTATCGGAAATATGATGTTGAATTGGTTGACATGGATGCGCCTATAAAATTTGTTTCATCTGTTGTTAATCATTGCGAAGAACTTCCAGTTAGGATTAGGTTGAAAAAACTAGAGTGACGAGAAAATTTGCAATTTTTCGACGACCGCAAGTTATGTGGTTACATACAGTATGAAACCTCGTTATTAAATAAAAAAAAAAATGATGTATAAATTTGGTATAATGATAATCGCATAACCTAAAAAAAATTTTGATAATCAATTAATGAAATCACTGTGAAAGTCTTTCTTCCAAGAAGCATGAATGAAACAGATAAATTTCCTGAACAACTTACCCAACTTCATTCCCTTTACGATACAATTTTAATACTCGATTTTGGTTCGCAGTATACTCACTTAATCGCCAGACGAATACGTGAGTTCAATGCATATTCCGAAATATTGCCGTGCACTCAAAAAATAAGCGAATTATGTTTTAAACCGAAAGGTATTGTTATTCTTACACTAATCCTGATTTAGCTATATATAGTTACCACTGACAAATGTTATTATGATAATTATTCCAGGTGTGATTCTTTCGGGAAGTCCTTATTCTGTTTACGATCAGGATGCCCCTCGAGTGGACAAAGAGGTGTTTGATCTCGGCGTACCAGTTTTGGGAATTTGTTATGGACTTCAGGTGAGATGCTTATTTAAAAAAACACCTAAAATAATTTCTACGCATGTGATGATTCTAAATAATTGAATTTAGGAAATCGCATGGAATTTTGGTGGTTCGATCGCATCTTGCGATCACAGAGAATTTGGTCACGCAATATTAAGTATCGTTAAACACCAGAATCATCCACTAATCGATATGTTATTTGACGGAATAGAAGGTGATATTCAGGTATTTTACTTATCTTTTTATTCTATTTTTATTTTATTTTATTTATTTATTTTTTTTTTCAGCAGTTATATCTATTCCAGGAAACATCTGACTTTATTTCATTATTTTGAGGTTTGGATGAGTCATGGAGATCAAGTAAATAAAGTTCCGGAAGGTTTCAGAGTTATTGGTCAAACCCGAACATCTTCGTTCGCTTCTATCGCGCATGAGGAGAAACATTTTTATGGAATCCAATTTCATCCAGAGGTCACGCACACACCTCACGGAAAGGATATTCTAAAAAATTTTGTTATTAAGATCTGCGAATGTAAAAATGACTGGACCATGGTGCGTTCTAGCTTCTTTTTTTTGAAAATGATTAGAAAAAACTTATTTGTTTCTTTATATTAGGAATCATTCATTGATAAGGAAATAATGAGGATCCGGAAAATAATTGGGCCCAACGGCCAAGTAGTGGGTGCTGTGAGTGGTGGTGTGGATAGTACCGTTGCCGCAAAATTGATGAAAGAGGCTATTGGAGAAAGGTGCAAACGAAATTACTATTTAATATAGTATCTAGAGAATGTATACTGATAAAAAAAGTTATCTTAATAGATTCCACGCTATCCTTGTTGATAATGGCGTGATGAGGCTTAATGAATGTCAGACGGTCAAGAAACAACTCGGCGATCATCTTGGCATTAATCTTAAAGTTGTGGATGCATCTGATCAATTTCTTGATCGTCTTAAAGGGGTGACAGATCCGGAGGAAAAGCGCAAGATAATTGGTAATCTCTTTATTAAAGTATTCGAGGCGGAAGCGGCAATAATCGACAATGAGACGAAAGAAGGTGGTCATGGTCAAATTGAATATCTACTTCAGGGTACTCTTTACCCAGATGTCATAGAGAGTATCTCGCATAAGGGGCCTAGTGCTACTATTAAGTCTCATCATGTTCGTATATATGACTCTTAGTTGAGAGAATCATGTGATTTGTTTTATATAACTAATGAATTATCTTGATTTAACAGAATGTAGGTGGATTGTTGAAAGATATGAAACTTAAATTGATAGAACCCCTTAGGGAACTATTTAAAGGTTAACAGCGATATATACTTTATCTTTGAACTTGTGGATTTCTGTTACTAGAGTAACTTTCATTGAGACGTAGACCACTGGTGAATACTTTTATTTTATAACAGATGAAGTACGTGAGCTAGGTAAAGTTTTAGGTTTGGATGATGAATTGATCTGGCGTCATCCATTTCCTGGTCCCGGAATTGCAATTCGCATATTAGGCGAAGTCACACCAGCTCAGGTTGCAATTGCCCGTTTAGCTGATCATATTTACATCGAAGAGATTAAGAAAGCTGGACTCTATCGAAAAATTTCACAAGCTTATGCTGCCTTGTTACCGGTTAAGGCAGTAGGGGTTATGGGCGATAAAAGAACATATGAACAAGTCATCGCCTTGAGGGCGGTAGAAACTACGGATTTTATGACCGCTGATTGGTAATACTTTCATAATATTAAAATTTTCACATTTTCTGTGGCTAATTTGTTTTATCTTCGAGATTAGGTTCTCCTTTCCTTATGATGTCCTGAAACGTATCAGCAGTAGAATCATAAACGAGGTAGCAGGTAATGAATATCACTAATCAATGGAATTCAAATGAAATAACAATTAAAACGATAAACGTTCACTCTTAAAGGTGTTAATAGAGTCGTGTATGATATTTCGAGTAAACCACCGGCAACCATAGAATGGTAACTTTCTACTATTATTAATTCAAATAATAATCAATAATTAATGATGTTCTTTAAATTATTTTTGTTATCAGGGAATAATTTGATGTGATTAAGGAGGATGCGGTGGTATACAATAACCTCTTGTATTAAGATTCAGGAGATATGAAGCCGTTATTTACAAATGAGCTACAAATTTATAAGGGTAATATTGGTTGTTTCGTGTATGACCATCTTTTACCTGCCAAAGGTTAGTGAGCGGGACTATATACCTAAAGTATACAGAAAATATCTCCTGTTGGAAACTAAACTACAAAACCAATGATCGATGATACTACGTCTAATGTTTTAATACATTTCATTAAAAATACAAGTGATGGCGATAACTATGCTATTTTACATAAAAGAAAATTTCAGATTGTTAAATCAGCTATCAACATGTGTTTTTTCTATGGCCAACGCTTCCTCCTTGGGATCAACTTCTTTAGCTTTCTCAGCTTGAACTTCTGAGAGATCCACTTGTGTTACTCCTAAGGGGTCAGCTTTAGCTTTTTCAATCTGCACTTCTTTTGAGAGACCAACTTGCGTTTCTCCCGTGGGGTCGACATCTGTTTCTCTTTCATGAAACGTTTCTGCCGAAAGATCAATGCCTTTAGCCTCTTTACCGATGGAGACGAAGAAAATTAGTAAAACCAAAGCGCAAGCTACAAAAATTGCTTGAGTTAATCCATAATCTGGTTCTCCATTTTGGGGGAATTTTTCGCCTAATGATGCCTCTATCTGAGAAGAAGAAGCGGCAATAAGGTTTCCCAGTTGATAAGTTAGGCCAGGGAACGTCCCTCGAAAATCTGGTGGTGATAATTCATTCAAGTGAGCTGGTACGACACCCCATGCTCCCTGTTACGAAAAAAATTTTAAAAGGTGTGCATTAAATTATTTGCAAAGAAAAAAGTCGGTAATAATTACCTGAACAAAGAAGTAGACCATGAATGCACCGAAAGAAAGTACCCAACGATTTCGAGGAAGCACAAATAACGGAAGGAAACATCCGGCTAAGAAGGCCGCGATAACAATGGCGCGTCTGCGTCCCCAATATTGGGAGTAAAATCCAAATAATGTACCTCCAATAATTGCCCCAATATTAGCAATAACGAGAGTGAGCGTAATTTCACCGGCACTCAAGTGTAGTTGAGTTTTGAGAAACGTTGGATACAAATCCTGTGTACCTAAATAATGGTAGTAGTAAACTTAGTCTCAGCAAACAGATATTCAACGATATTCGCTTTTTCCTCACCGTGGCTTATAAAGTTGAAACACGCCATCAGACAAACAGTGTGAATTATCCGTATCCAGTGACAAGTAAATACTGATTTTACTTCAGTCCACCAATTTTTACCAGAAGCTTTTTCGTTTGCATGCTGTCTTTCCCACATGGGCGATTCCGGCACGAAAAAACGAAATAGGATGATAATAAATGCGGGAAAAGAACCTATCCAAAACATAGCTCTCCAACCGAGATTTACAATGACAATGTAATAAAATACGGCAGCAATTAAATATCCAGTTGCATAACCTTGTTGTAAGATTCCTGAGAATAAACTAAAAGCCAAACAATCAGAAATAAGAATGTCGCGTATTAAAAATCATTCATTAATGCATACCCACGGGCCTCGGGTGGTAAAACTTCCATTGCCAACGCAGCGCCTAGACCCCATTCGCCTCCCATCGCTATTCCAAAAATTCCTCTTAAAATAATGAAAACTTCAAAGTTTGGAGAAAATCCCGAGGCTAATTCCACAACACTATACAGTAGGATGTCAAACATTAATGGATATTTCCTTCCATATCGGTCAGCCAATTGACCAAATATTAGAGCACCAACTGGTCGTAACATTAAAGTAACAGTAATGCTTTTTTTTATGGGTACGTGTCATATTTCGGTGTTAGTATTTTCTATGTTTTTTTTTTCTTTTTTAAAAAGAAGAACAACTAACCTCGAGGCTATTTCGGAGGGCTTCTTGTTGAATTCATTGGCTATGTAAGGTAATGCAAATGACACAATGAAAAAATCAAATGCATCCAGGGTCCACCCGAGAAATGCAGCAATAAAGGTAATATATTGTGTACGGTTTAGAGATTTTAAGAGTTTCCACGGATGCACGGGTTTCTGGACCTCGGACGAATCTCTGACTTCTTGGTTCGCATCTTCGATTTCTATCCGTTCTTTATTTTTTTTTTCTTGGTCTTGTGAACTCATTTTGAAATTACCTGCCACAAATCATTTGGTATTTATTAAATTCTCGTTCAAATACGTAAAAATTCTTCCATTTCGTAAGAAAACTCGTTCATATTTATTACGTAATTTCAAATTACATTACAAGGGGTGGGATTTTTCTGTCTCTTTCAACTATGGTATATTAATTTAATACTTATTTGATTTCATATTTAGCTTAATTTTCTATATATATAAATAATGGATATAAACGAGAAAAGAATATAAAAAGAAATATGATAGACATGTTAAAGTATCCAGTATTTCTAGTATATTCTAGTATCTTGAATTATATATCTGGTATAGCAAGAATAACAAGTAATAGTAAGTAATTATCAAGTATAATATAAATAACAAGTATAAAGTTATATAAATTATAAGGTATAAAAAGTATAAAAGTAAGATGATGCACGATCCTACGGTTGATCGACATCATGCATATGTATAAAAAGTTTATTGTAAAATCATCTAAAAAAGTAAAAACTGTACATCAATTACTAACTTTTTAGATACCTGATCAAATTTAACGAAACATATACCATTCTAAAGCTCTCATCGCAGGAAATCGAATGGTGGTAAAATCGCAAAATTCTAATCACAGGTTATAAAGTTATAATTATTTTTAATAATTTATAAAAATAATTATAACTTAATAACTTGTGATTAGAATTTTGCAATTTTATAACCATTCAATTTCCCATGATGTGTATTTTCTAATGACATATGTTTCATTAAATTTGATTTGGTATCTAAAAAGTTAGTAATTGATGTACAGTTTTTACTTTTTAGATAATTTTACAATAAATTTTTTATACATATATATAATATCAATCAACTGTCAAATTATTTCAATTCAACTTTTTATAATTTTTAAGGATAGGTTATCTACCTCAAGAAGGTCATTAACCAAGAAGTGATCATGCAGAAATAAAGATAGGTCTCTAAATTAAAAGTAAAGATATAATCCAAATGTCTTTTACTATTAAAAATATATATATATTTTAATATAATAATAAAAAAAAAAACTTATAAAATTTTTTTGCAATTTAGGCCATTGAATTCAATATTGGAAAAATTTTTTGTAAAAATATTCTGGAAATCTCCATTTTTAAAGAAATATTTTAAAAGATTTCAAAAACCTTTGAAATTTTATGAAATAAAATAATTCAAAAATCTTTGAAATTCAAATATTTCGATTTGTTTTAGATATTTATAAAAAATTAAATTGATTTATTCTTTTTGAGTAAAAAATATGTAGAACAAAATTTCATTATCCCTTAAATTATAATGTAAGCAAATTTGCTTATATAATTAAAATTTTTAAAAATTTTTAAATATTAATTTTTATAACTTACTTATATTATAAAAAATATAGTTTAAGATATTTTTTATTAACTTTATTAAGTAAAAAATTAAAATTTTATTGAAAATTTTCAAAATAAAAACTTTAAACTTTGTGTTTAAAATTTTAATAAAAAAATCCATATAAAATTTAATATATATTTTAAGTAAAAAAATTATTTTACTTCTAATACAAGTTAAAATTTTTATAATTAAACTATTAAAATTATAATAATTAAAGTTATTTTTTGCAAATAATTCTACAAAACTGATTATAATTATATGAATGTTAATTTAAAAAAATTTTCAAGTTTGTCTAAGATCAATTTTTATTTATATTAACTTATTTGTTATATAAATAATATGTCATTTTATTAAAATAACTTTATTATATATACCTCGTTGTGCTACAGCAAACACCTCCCCTCTCTCCGGCATCAAATGGGACAACAACCATCATAACAGCCCAAAACAAACAATCAAAAATCCAGCCAAGACCAAAATACCTAATAACAATTCCACATTAACATCAACTACTATAGATGCACCTACCATCGTAGCGGACTCATACATCCAAAGCGGATTCAACTTCACTAAAAGTATCTTAAAATTAATTTCAGATTTTTCTAATCTTCTTCCACCTAATGCTGAGTAGGTAATCATAGCTACTCGGAACCACCCGACGAGATATATTGTTTTAAAAATTTCTTTTCAATATTAGTCTAGTGGTTACTGTAGGCAAGCTAGTATTTAACTCATTGTACTAATACACATGAGAGATGTTGTTTCTTTCGCAATGTATATCTATCATTATACAAATAAATAAAGAAATGATGTTTACCTACAAAAAAAAAAATAAATAAAAAAATAACTTTATTATATAAATAATAAACTTATAAAATAAGAATCATCTTTTTAAAGATGAACAAAAAAATTCAATTAATGTTAGTACAAAGAGACACAATTTTTTGCCACTATAAAAAAAAAGTCATATTGTGATATTACAAAACAAGTCGGCTATTCAAAATCAGCTGTTGGTATTACTATTAAAAGATTCTTAGAATCTGGCTCTGCTGAACCACAAGGTATAAAAACCAGCTACCCACCACTCATTAATTTTTCTTTCCAAGCCATTCTAAAAAAAATCATTAAAAAAAATTATCATTTATGTGTTTCTCAACTTATCAATATTTTCATAAATCAGACAAAAATTAACATTTCCATGAATACAGTTTGTTATGCTCTCTATAAATTGAATTTGAAGTGTCATATTGCTTGCCTGAAGCTATTTATTTTCAAAGTCAATTCAAAAAACCAGCTCAATTGATGTCTGATGTATAAAAACTGAACCACTCAATATTTTCGATATGTGTTCTGGTCTGATGAGTTTACAATATCCCTTTTTTAGCAAGGATCCTGCTGTTGGGTATAGTATGAGCCACAAGAAGAATGAAAAATTGAATATTTAATTAGTACCATTAAGCATAGTCCAAGTTGAATATATTGGGGTTGTTCTTTTTGATATAGTGTTGGTTCTCTTATCCCCCTTGATGGCTCTGTAAAGATATTTTCATATATTAATATACTTCAAGAATACTTTATTCTGATTTTTGATTGTTTTTCTTTTATTGATAATTGTAGTTATCTATACTTTATATAAAATAATGCAAAACTACATATGGCAAAAATCACTTATAATTTTTTTTTGTTGATTATGAAATTCGAGTTTTAGACTGGCTCATGCAAAATCCTGATTTGAATCCAATAAAGAACTTGTGACACAAGGTAAAAACTTAGTATAGTGATATGGAACAAAACCAAGCAATCTTGTAAAACTTGATCATCTTGTTCTGCAAGCCTAAAAAAATATACCATGTCAACTTTGTTAACAGATAATAGACAGCATGCCATAATATGTAAAAATATGCATTACAGCTAAAGAAGGTCCTATTAAATACTGAATTGTATAAAAAAAAAAGTTAAATAAGTCACTTTAATTTGATTTCTCAATTGATCTTCATTTTCAGTTTGAGTAATTTTTTAAACTTTTTTAAAATTTTTAATATTTCAGTAATTATTGTATAAAAAAATTTTTTTTAAATTCTATATATACAGCTGAATATAAATTTTTAAAGTTTGTCCAATGACTTTTGAGCACCTTCTATAAGTCCATATCATCTTATAGATTATAATAATACAACTTTGATATGAATAATTGATCTTAATAATAATTAAAAATTTTTTTGAATATTGCATATTTTTGTATTTAATAATACTAGTTACATACTTTAAATAATAGATCTCATTAATTAAAAGAATTTCATGAAAAATTTGATAAATATTTTGAAACATATAGATTATATTTTACAATGTTTTATAATTCTAGAGATTACTTAGAAACTACTGAAAGTTGTTAAGATCATTTATTGTTTGTATACAATGAAATTCAATATAATATAATTTTAGGGCAATTAATAAAAAATTTTGAAAATTTTACTATAGTAAGATTTTTTTAAAATTTGTTATTAAATTCATTATATCAAAATTATTTTATTATAGCAGTTTTTAAGTCTATTCTACTATATCAAGATTTTTATATATTTTGACTATATATATATATATATTTTTTTTTTTAATCCCGCAATCAGGTTGGTGTCGTTTATTTATTTAATCATAAAGAACCATTACAAGTTGAGAACC